AATAAATAAACTTTTAAAAAGATAAAAAAATAAAGAGCCCCTCCAGGAGAATCAAGGTGTACCTCTCTACCTCATGGGCCTTAGCTCAGCCATCATTACTCCAAGACCAGTGTGCGTTTCTTCAGGGGTATTGAAGTAGGAAAAAAGCCGATGTTAAAAAAATTGTGTGTGTGTGTGGTACTGTAGCTACTTAATTACCCATTGGACCAGAATCTATATCTGAATTAAAATTCAGGTGCTAAAGATTCGGGTGACTGATTCATTTTAGGTATTTTGAAGATGTTATAGTCACTATAAATTTATGGTGAATGTGGCATTAAGTGAGTATTTTAGATGTAAGCTGTCACCATCAAATTTTTTTTAGACTGGTTTTCTGCTAGAACAGTCTCAGTAATCCCAATTAAATAGGACTTAAAATCTTCTAACATCAGTGAAAACGAACCCTATATCATACTTCAATTTTTAAACATATATATGCATATTTATTATGGTATAATATGTTATTACTGTATTTGATATATACATACATATTGTGTAAGTGGAAAGTTTCTTGTTGATGAGGGAGAAAAAACTCAAATCAGATTTCTGGTTATGATTTTCTTTTAATGAAGAAAAATCTAACTCCGCTAGAACTAACAAATTCTGTTGACAAATTGGGTGTTTGGGGCATTAGGATAATTTGTGCACATAGCAATCCATGACTGAGAATTCTGAGAGTTTAGATAGAATTGTAGGTTGTAAATAGTTAAACTGGTCACTCTTAAAAAATGTGAGAGAGTAGTAGTAACACAATGCCTGTGCCTCTCAAATACATCAGAATGAAACTCCACACCAGGAAGTGAAACCAAGAATAGGTATCTTATCTAAAACACTATCCTAACTCTTAGATGGCATCAATGCAGCAATTCTTTTAAAAACATTTCTGAGATCTGTTTGAAATTGCCTGTTGCTGATTGTGGTGATGACAATCTCTGGGTTCGGTAATGAGATTCCGCAGTCTTTATCATACCAACAGTCTTTGGTTTTAGTTTAACTTAAAGTTAAGCAATGACAGTTGAGTAGAGAAAGAAAACTATTTGCATGCAGAATGTACCTTCTCTTCCATCAGATTTGTTTTATGATTATTTCTTCGGTTCTTTATAACAGTAGAACTTTCAACAGATTAGAACAATCATCAAATCGACTTTTTACAAACTGGTTCTTGTTTCCAATGCCCATTTTAGTTACAGTTGTTAATATAATTCTCCAGAATGAATTTAATACAGTAGCTATTTTCATAATGACCCGGAAATCGTGAGACGAAAAAGGGTCATGATTTTCACGATGGAAAAGATTAGGGATGAAAAAGACACTCAAAGTAAGGTAATCCAAGACCTGAAGGCAAAGCTTAATCTTGGTGGCTGAGTCAGTGTATTGAGCTTATATTTGACATCTCAATTGAAATATGGCATCTCTTTTTGCCAACTACCAACTAGCATTGTGCTGAGTCATCAGTTCCCTCCAGGGAACACTGGTTGTGGATTCAATAATATCATTTCCTCTGGCACCACCCCTGAGACATAACCAAAAGTCTCCTATCCAAGTCGGAAGCTAGTCTAGTCCATACTAGTTTGAAATTATAACTGATATTGGTCCCGGGATGTTTCAAAGAATTATCAAAAGGTATTTGGATTTGATTAAAACTAAACATTTTTCTCAAAGAATTTGTATTTACTTTACAGATATTATAATCTTTACAGCTCTTATAAGGAGATGGGCATGATTTTGACACTCATGTTTTGAAAATAACTTACAGGTGATCTGAAGATTTATTGTGTTTCTGAAATTAACTTATAAGAACCAAGAAATGGTTGATTTGTCCCCTATTTCCTATGAATGGTTTGCAAGTATTTCATTCATTATAGTTAAGACAGAATTGAGGCTAATGGAAATAAAAGCAGATTAAAACAGCTGAATGATACAGGAAATAACTCAGTTACTAGAGGAACATCAGATCAACTACGGGTATACCAGACAGACTAGATGATAACTGTACCACTTTAATAAATGAAAACAGCCTTTTTCACTAAAGGTGTGGGTATTTGGTATTATTCGCTGTGTAAGTGAAGGAATGTACAAAGAGTGAAGACATTGGGGACAGCAAGAATGGAGTCTAATTCAAGTTTAACTTTTCCTATCTATGAGATACTGGGAAATTATTTAACCTCTCAGAATCTCACTTTAGTTATATATAAATATAAATAAAACCTATGTTCTTTATCAGGTTGAGAAAGTTCCCATCTATTCTTTGATTGCTGAGAGTTTTTATCCTAAATAGGTGTTGAATTTTGTCAAATGATTTCTTTGCGCTGTTGATATGATCATGTTATTTTTCTTGTTTCGCCTGTTTATGTAATGGACTACATTATTTGGTTTTTGAATGCTAAACCAGCCTTGCATACCTACGGTAAATCCCACTTGCTTGTGGTTATATTTCCTTGTATATATTATTGGATTCTATTTGCTAATAATTTGTTGAGAACTTTTTCATCTATGTTTATGATAGATACTGGTTGGTAGTGGGTTTATATTTTTTCCTTGTAATGTCTGTGTCTGGTTTGTTATCAAGGTAATGCTGGCTTCATAAAATGAGTTAGGCACTATATCTTCGGCTTCTGTCTTCTGGAAGAGACTGGAGAGTATTGGTGTAATTTCTTAAGTGTTTAGTAGAATTACCAGTGAATCCATCTGGGCCTGGTGCTTTCTGTTTTGGAAGGTTAGGTACTGATTCAATTTATTTATATATATAGGCCTATTCAGCTTGTCTGTTTCCATTTGTGTGAGTTTTGGTAGATTATGTCTTTCAAGGAACTGGTCCATTTCATCTAGGTTATTAAATTGTGGGCTTGGAGTTGTTCATAGTATTCCTTTATGATCTTTTTAATGTCCATAGAATCTGGAGTGAACTTCCCTCATTCATTTATGATATTTATAATTTGTGCTCTCTTTTTTTTCTTATGTAGCCTGGCTTATCAATTTTGTTACTCTTTTCAAAGAACCAACTTTTAGTGTCAATGATTTTCTTTGTTGATTTTCCATTTTCAATTTTATTCATTCCTGCTCTAATTTTTACTGTTTCTTCTGCTTACTTTGGACTTAATTTTCTAGTAGACACTTAGGTGATTGATTTTAGATCTTTCTTTTTTCATATATGCATATCATGAAATAAATTTTGAAATATATGCATATATGAAATAATATGTATGTCAACATACATATTATTTCATTTCCCTCTAAGCACTACTTTTGCTGCATCCCCCAAATTTTGATAAGTTGTAGTTTCATTTTCATTTAGTTCCAAATATTTAAAAATCTCTCTTGAGACTTCTTCTTTGGCATATGTGTTATTTAAAAGTGAGTTATTTAATCTCCAAGTACTTTGTGATTTTCCAGATGTCATTCAGTTTTGATTGCCAGTTTAATTCAATTGTGGTCTGAGAGTATGTATCGTATGATTGTTCAACATGAGCTTACAAATGTGTATTCTGGTGTTGGATGAAGTAGCCCGTAATGTCAATTATATCTAGTTGACTGATGATGCTGTTGAGTTCCAACGTGTCCTTACTAATTTGCTGCCTGATGGTTCTATTTCTGATAGAGGGGTATTGAAGTCTCTAACTAATACAGTGAAGTTTGTTTTTTTGTTTTTTGTTTTTGTTTTTTTTTTGGTGGGGTCAGTGTGTGTTATTTTCAGTTGTATAGGGCAACACACTTTTTTTCTTTTTACAAGCATTCATTTAATTTATAATTGATAATTTCATTTATACAGAATAAAACTTTGACTACTCAGGCACCTCTGGCTATAGAAGATATTTCTCTTCAATAATAAACTTGAGTAAGAATTATCTTGAAAGACTTTCTATGCTTCTCTGCCTTTTTAAATAAAGTATGCTCATCATTCAGGACTTCACCTCTTCCTGATGCTACATTAGAAATCTGAACATAAATTATTCTCTTGAGAGAGTGATATCTTCAGAAACTGTTGAATGTTATATAACTTTTGGTTCTATATCTCACTACTGCTGGTCCTATATATGAATCTGTTTTATAGTTTTTTCTACCTCCTCGATTTTAGACTGTCATTACTCATTTTTCAGTATTGCCAGTATCTTACCTTTTTAAAATCAATTATGGACTTTTTAAAGTGTTAAGCAAGTCTGTTTAAAGTCAGGAAAGATAGGAGTAGCTTATAAGTGTGTGCTTCTTCTAAGATGAAACATGCTTGAGCTTCAGATAAAGATTTTGTAATCTTTCCAGTTGCTCAGAGAACTTAGTGAATTCCTGCTTCCTTACTCTGTTTTGGTTGATAGAGTTGTTTAGTGACTACTTTCAAGTTAGGTGAAGTATTTAATAATCTTCAACCAGTTATTATTTATTATGTGCATACAAGCTATTGGGCTAATAGAAAATTTTAACATCGTTACATATGGTTTATAACAAATGCATTAAAATTAACATAAGTAGTTTTCCAGTCATTGCCTTGGATCCAAAAGATTTTTAAAACTGCTCTGGAAATGTCTTGCCAAAGAAAACTTTCATTGAACAGTAACAATAAAAGCAAACAAATCTGAATAATGCAAACATCTTGCTCTGACTTTGCCTCTCTAAGCCAGGGCTTCCTCATCATTCAGTACAAAGCCTGATTGTCTTCCTAGAAGGCTTGCAGTCCTGATTTACATTTTCCCTCAAGCTTGGTAAACCTGACAGCAGAAAAGTTCCAGCAGTCAAGTTGTAGTGACATTTTTTAAAGCATGATCTAGACTTCTCAATAATTCTGTGGTGGGAGAGAGGAGAGAGAGAATCGAATAAGGAGCAGCCCTGGGATCAAAGGATGTTTCTGGTATGAATGTTACTTCCCTTCACCCTGAATGTTTTCAACCAGTCTCAAGGAAACAACGAGCATAGTTTGCTTGGATCCTATCTTGGAAGCTAATCTGTAATTTACTATTATTTGTTTCCAGGTGGAGCACCAGTATTCCCACAAGTTCACAGTAGTGGTGTTACGTGCCACCAAAGTGACAAAGGGGGCCTTCGGTGACATGCGTAAGTGTCCTTATTTGCTTTTCTGTTGAAAATGCATAACCTAGTTGCTCCAGCCCTCTGACAAGCCAGGGGCTCCCTCTCTTTCAGATGTGGTTATCTTTGTCTAGATCTTTGAATGGTAACATTTCCAACAGTGCTCTGATGCTCTGCTTTCTGTTGGAATAGTGCTTTGTCTTGACTTTACATTAATTGAGAGTACTTGGAGTCAGAAAAAATGACTTTCTTATGACATCCAGATTTTTGGAATTAAAATAAATTCTATTTAATTCTATTTTGAAAAGAGTGCTGAGTGAAGACTTTGAACAAGCTGCCCCTGAGGCATTGTGCCTATAGGATTAAAAAAATGCAGTTTCTCTAGTTCTTATGCCCGTAAATGTGTTTATTATGTGCGAAAATAGCTAAAGAAACTGGTGTAGCACAGCTTCCAACAACGCGAACCGCAGCCTGAGGATAATGTTGAATGAACTTGCTTGCGGTATCCTTTCCCCATGCTTGGAAAAAGCCATTTTCCGAGTTCATCTCACCACTCAAAAGGCTGGGGGTTATGGGGGTAGAAATACAAAGAAAGATGGATAAGGATTATGATGATGAATTTGGTAAAGTTGTAGATGATTGCTAAAATATGGGAACAGGCGATTTACCTCTCAGAACGGGATTTGGAGAAAGAATGGAGATTATAATTTGTCAAGCTGGGAAGCAGGCAGGGAAGGCTGCCTTGCCCAGTGATGTTGAAACTGGTACTTGGAGGAAGAAAATCTTGGCGAGGAGAGTGAGAAGTCCCAGGCTGAGCAAGTAGAGTTTTTGAAAGCGAGAGAACAGAGTGCTTATGAGGAACTAGAAGAGATCCAGTGTTGTTAGAGAATAGACAGCAAAGGGGAAGGGAGACCAACACTAATATAACAAAGGCTGAGGTTGAGATTTCATCAGAAATACAATGGGAAAAATTTGATGGCATTTTTGTCATAAATCACAAATTGAATTTTCATTCTAAAAAATGTTTGTTCTGGGGACGCCTGGGTGGCTCAGAGGGTTAAGCGTCCAACTCTTATTTTCAGCTCAGGTCATGATCTCACAGTTGCATGAGTTCAAGCCCTGCATTGGGCTCTGCACTGACAACGTGAAGCCTGCTTGGGATTCTCTCTCTCTCCCTTTCTCTCTGCTCCTTCCCTGCTCACGTGTTGTCTCTGTCTCTCTCAAGATAAATAAATAAACTTAAAAACATTTTTTAAAATGTCTGTTCTGGCCATATTGTGTTAAATATATTGGAAGCAAATGTGGGGTATACTTTATATTTTTAAGGATAAAAAATATGATAACGGATGCAAGAATAAAAATTAGCTGCTTGAAATCATGCTGAAAATGGGCCAGTAGAGAAAAGTTAAATACTATGGGAAAAAAAAGTGAGTTCAGTGCCCAAGCCTTCAGCAAATGAAAAGAGGTGTCCAGGAAGTGGACAGGACACCTGTGTGGCTCAGTCAGTTGAGTGTTCGACTCTTGGTTTCAGCTCAGGTCATGATCTCACAGTTTTGTGACTTCAAGCCCCTGCATCGGGCTCTGCACTGCTTACTTGGGATTCTGTCTCCCTCTCATGCTCTCTGCCGCACCCCCACTCACACTGTCTCTATCTCTCTCAAATAAATAAACCTTTTTAAAAAATATTTTTTTAAAAAGTCAGAAGTAAAATGGGAAACAATGTAGAATCTAATGGCAAGAGTTTTAGATGAGCAGTAGTTTTCATGAGAGATGAGAGTACAAGGATAATTTCTTTCACTCTCATCTGGACCAGGGATTTAAACTCTAAATTGTATCTTATACTTCAGTGACCACTCCTTGGTCAATGTTCTTCTGAAGTTATTCTTATTTTGCTTTTTAAAATTCTCTGCATTTTCATCATTTAACTTTTTTTTTTTTAACATTTATTTATTTTTGAGACAGAGAGAGACAGAGCATGAACGGGGAGAGGGCCAGAGAGAGAGAGGGAGACACAGAATCTGAAGCAGGCTCCAGGCTCTGAGCTGTCAGCACAGAGCCTGATGCGGGGCTCGAACTCACGGACCGTGAGATCGTGACCTGAGCGAAGTCGGACGCTCAACCGACTGAGCCACCCAGGCGCCCCATTTTCATCATTTAAATGAGAGTTCCCTGGAAGAAAGAGCCACGTCAGAAACCCTTTTTAAAAACTGGTATATCCCCCATGACCTTGAGAAAAGGCACAGGCTTTAAAATTCAAGAGGTCGATTATTAGATAAGCTCTCCTTAATTCCCTTGAAGCCTAGGTCAGTAACTTGCCAGGCATGCAAGTTACTAACCGAATTTGACTTTAAAAAAATATAGTTATGTCTTATACAAAGCAGCAACAATGCTTTCTTATAGCGCTGAACTCTGTCATTCAGGTACAACAGGTGTTACTGTGGTTAAGACGAGCCCACACAGCAGTTCAAACTCTATACTCTGTGAGTCACCTTCAGCTGGTATGGATCTGATTTTCTAGCTACTTCCCCCAGAGGCACAGGTATTTGGGCTATCATTATTTATTAGGATTAAGCCAGGGGAGATAGTGGTGTATGTAGCAGGTGTCATTTTAAACCTATGTGAGTTGACATTAATAATACTTATATATAAACATGAGATATTAACTCATGAAACAGGGAACAGGTTCATTTTGGATCCTCACAGTGTACACAACACAGTTTAGACCCTTGGTCTCTAGAAGCTTCCTTTTGAAAATGAAGGACCCATGGAAGGAATAGCCACTGGAGATTAATCACTATAGGGGAAAGGACAGTGTCATGACATTCTGGTGAACTTTTTATTCAGCATTTGTATTTTGATTTTGTTTCATTTGAGTTGTTACATAATTTCTTGGAGGGGGGGCAATTGTTGCTAACTCTTCATATCACCTTAATGAGTTTATAGAAAGTCAGGATAAGAAGAAGTCAGGATAAGAAGAAGAAAGTCAGGATAAGAAGAGATAAGAAGGAAGAACAAGAGAAAGTCTTAGAGAAACAAATTCAGTGAGAAGGTTAGCATAAAAAAGTGAAGGGTTGCAATACATCGCCAAGCACTTTATTTCTGAGAAGTTGTAGGAGATTATTACAGTGAGAAAAGGTATTGGCATTAGCTGTCACTTTCCTAAGAGGAGTTCTGATGATATTGCGTGGTGAGCTTGATCAATACAAATTACCAAGTAAACTGAATTTGGATTCTTTGTATATAGCCTCTCTCTCAATATAGACAAAAATAAAACTACAAAAAATGCCCTAAGATCTGTGAAGACTATGATAGCAGAAACCTACACCCTCTTCTGTTGTTGATATTGTCTGCATTTATTTAAGAAGGCAAATTTCCATAAAATTTTACATGTTGATAAAGAAGAATGACAGATTACTACTGGGTTTTTGGTTTTGCCTGAGTATGTGGGGGCTTTCTCAAGGGTTCCACAAAAAAATCAAATGGTTGATTCCTGGTAAAATGCCTATATCTGCCTTTTTCTTTTTTCTTTCTTTTTTTTTTTTTTGAGATAATACTAAGATTATATCTATTTTTTTATTTTGTCCCTTGATAAATCATCTTTTTCTAATTATCTCCATTTAAAAATATCATGTAATGTTGTCAAAACATCATAATAAAATTAGCAGCACCCCATGAGCTGTCTTTTGAGGGGTCAGAGTTGACATTTTAATCATAACATCTCACTCATTTCGTTGTTTTTACCTAAGGGCCTGGGCCAGCCAAGAGCAGGACAGCCCCTTCCCGGACCTGGTTGCTAATCTCAGTGTGCGAAAATGTATCATTTATGCCTGTATCCCAGTGCCCACCCTTCCGTGCATTCTTATTCTCACATCATATGAAGAGGTTGTTTGAAGTTCATAATTGCAACTGACTCACCATAGTCTTAGTTTTAAAATAAGTAGTTTGCCTTAATTTTGGCAATATTAATATAACTCTCACTTTTAAAGCTATAGTATAATATATATATAATATATATATAATATATATGCAATACATATATATATGTAAGCATATTTATATATGTAAGCATATATATATATGTAAGCTTGCATATATGCAAGCATAATTCATTCTGGAAACATGCTTGTAATCCAAAGCACTTGTATATCAAAGCGAATTTCAAGAACCATTGGTTCCGTTGTGATCATGTGACATTCGGCATCACGTACTCCTCGTATTGCAAGACATAGCTCTTTACCAAGTTAAAATGTACTTATGTTTGCTCATCCTGTGGAGCACTCACAGAACAAGTTACTCACAGTCCAAGGCTTTATGGTATATTAAATATAACGTGTAGTCATGAGTATGTCAACACTGCAGCAGGTGCATGTGTTGGATGGGTATATATTAAACTCTGTGTTTTTTATTGTTCCTTTCCTCTTCTAACAGAGGTTACACATTTGCAGAATGACTACAGTGACGATAAAATTTCAGTTGGTAATAGAGTTTTCTTTGTGCATGTGTGAAGTGAAACACACAGCCCTGGCCACAAACCTGATTTTAAAACCAAATGAAATGGCCGGCACAAATGTTTTAGCTACCTCCCTGAGTTTCTGCTCCTTTTAATGTTGGGGAAAACACAGATCAAATGTGATAATGGAGGCTAGTCTCAGACTTCATAACTGGATAGAGTCATGTTTCAGTCCCTAAGATGAAGTCAGAAAATGGATATGATAGTGTTTTTGAAACAATAAAATACTATACCAGTATTAGATATTTTTAATATCCTAATTATGCAAATATACTAATGATTCTTGTCTGGTCTCAACAGACACCGAACTCTTTCTCTTTACAGAATGAGCGTCACCAACGTTAGGGTTTCCAAAGACGGTTGTAGGATTGCAGATAGATCTACTTTCCTTAAGTATTCAGGAGAACACGGAGCTTAATTCCAACCTTTAAACTTTAAGAAAAAAATAAATATATTTGGGAGAATTATGAGCTCATTATGTTGAAACCGATTTTAATAAGATTGTATTGCTTCTATC